CCCTACCACTAAAGCATTTCAAGTTCTGCAATGGCATGTGGCATTGGCTCACCTGTCACAAAACTACCATTAGATTACGCAATCTGAAACTCCAGGTGGCTTCTAGGAAGGAAAAATTAAGTTGTGTGATGCTACATTCAAAAGACAGGGAAAACAACCAATCTCATGGAGAAAAGAGCCCAGGAACCTTTACTGATCAGAATTTGAGGGTAGATTTTTTTATACTACATGAAATAAAGCTCTGACTGCACGACAGCAGCTCTAAAATGATGCTCACTCAGAAGAAGGTGACCCCTTGTGTTGTGGGTAGTCTCTGGAGTTGTCTCCTGACTAGTTTTGCTGCTGCAGAACATCCTACCCTTTTCTCGTGAGTCACTGAGAGAACTGAAGTCTGCAAGAGCTTGACAGGGAATTCTAGGAGTAAGGTCATAGTTGCCTTCTCACACTGTTGTCTGTGAGATCCAGCTCCAGATCTTCTCATGAACCAGTATCTCTCCTTCGCTTTTGAGATAATATACCCCAGGGAGCGATCTGTGAAATCGCACAGCTGATATGAACTCATCCGTGAGCTCCAGGGGTCAGAATTCTGTTGATTCTTCCCATTTGTATTGGCAAGAGGGGAGTATGAGAGGCAACGAAAGCACAGAAAAACAAGGTGTCCAGTTGCCCAGGAGCACTGGATAAACCCTGGTCTGGAAGAGGGAAGGGAGAATGAGGCATATGCAACTGAGGGGTATTCCAAGTGAAGAACAGGGAATTTCTGGGATGCTCAGTGAGTACAGGTGACAAGAACAAGAAAATACCCAACTCTTCAGTCCTTGTAAAAATTGGGAAAAATTACTGAGAAGCCATCTGTGGTGGGTTGACCCTGGCTGGATGCCAGGTGCCCACCAAAACCGCTCTGTCGCTCCCCTCCTCAGCTGGATGGGGGAGAGAAAATATAATGAAAGGTTCGTGGGTTGAGATAAGGACAGGGAGAGATCACTCACCAGTTACCATCACGGGCAAAACAAACATGATTTGGGAAAAAAATAAAGCCCTAAGGACAAGCGGATGAAAGGATTTTGAAGGTGTCTCTTCCGGTCGGTGTGATTCAGAAGTCTGAAGTCCTCATTGCTGGTAATGGTTGGTCAATGAGATGCAACCACCTCAGAAGAATTTCATAAAGACTCTTAGGTAGAGAGGTGAGGTAGCATGGGTTACAGCTTGACAAAAGCTGGCAGCAAAGTGGGTGAAAACGTGACTAGACACTTGATTGGGGGGTTGGAAGTAGATGATCTTTGAGGTCCCTTCCAACCCAAACCATTCTATGATTCTATGATTCTATGATTCTATGATTCTATGATTCTATGATTCTATGATTTAGGGAGTTTCAAGGAGAACCAGGTCTAGGCTGAGAAGAAGAGAGGCAACACACACACAACACATTGCACAAAAGACAATTTGGACATTCTTTAATGCTGTTAGATATTCTGAACAATACAGGAAACACATAAATGAGAAATCAGGCTCCAAACCTCCACTGGGAACCAACCATTATTCTCTCTCATCTTCATTGAAATCTCCCTGTCAGGTGGGGCATGGCTAGGTCTTCTCCAAGTGGGAAAAAATAGGGTAGAAAAAACTGAGAGGAAGCAGAAGGAGCCTCTTTATCCAGAATAGCATCTTCCTCTGACGCTACTATGAGTGGAAGAAAGAGAAATCCCCTTCCCAGACACAACGACAGTGGGAGAAACTGGTACGTTTCCACTCCTGCACGATGAGTAGGCTGGTTACAGACACCGAGTGAACAGGATCACAGCCTGAACATGTCACCATCCCATTTAGAAAGGGTTACTGTCCTGAAAGGAGCAAGAGCTAATCCTGCCAGTCTTCCGCGTCCTCATGCTTGCTCATGGTCTCTGTAATCCAGTCCAAATAACGCACTACTTTGGTGTAAAGACCAAAGGTACCACATCTTGGTCCCCAGGAGATCAGCCCGGCCACGTAGTACCGTCCGTCATGCAGAGGATCTGGGATAGCATAAGCTCCACCACTGTCCCCCTTACAGCTGTCCTTGTCACCGCCGGCACAGATCATGTTGTCCGTGAATCGGTAAGCGCTGGAATCAGCAGAGCCCTCCGGTTTCACAGATCGGCACTTATCCATGTTCACCACGGGAATCCGGGCCTTCCAAAGATAAATGGGCAGTCTTCCCGTCTCTCTCTGGCCCCAGCCAGCAATGTAGCCCAGAGTCCCTTCTTGCAGCTCATACTCGGGTGATTTGCCAGGAAGACAGAGGGGTAAGATGTCTGGGCCCATCTTCACAGGTTTGCTCAACTTCAGCAGCGCGATGTCGTTATCGAAATCAGTCCTGGTATCTATGGGCTGCTTCTTCCAACCAGGATGGATGAACGAAGCTTCTGGGACCAGCCGCTTGTCCTCCTCCCGGTACAGATACTCTCTACCAACGTTGATGACCCCAGCGTACATGTTGGGCTTGTCGTGCCCCTCCAGCACGTGCGCTGCTGTCATCACCCATCTTTCAGAGATGAGCACGCCACCTCCTCTTGGGTAGTCGAAATACACCTGCCAGGGAAAGTTGCCCTTTTCTGCACGGGTGCCTCCAAAAATCTTTGCGCTCTCTCGGATGGGATTACTAGGCACTCCACAGACTGGAAAGAAAAGGAAAAAAAGAGGAAGCAGATGGGAGAATTAGCAGTTACAAACAGGGGGTTCTTTGGTACCACTCAAAAAAGCCCATAGTCCCCTCCTTTCTTTGTCTTCTAAATCATTTTTGACTATGAGTAACCAATTTTGAGTTTATATTCTGTGTCATAGAGTTTGCAACTAGTATTTACAGAGAAATTCAAGAAAATTCAAGCAAAACTACTATCAACGTTCGATTTAGACTGAAATTCTCAAATTCTTGCTCTGGAAAGCGGAACATTCACAACTGTTGTCACCTGCCAGTGTTGGGTATGTCAAAGCTCACAATTTAATTGCATTCTCGTTAGCATTTTTCCTTTGCTGAATTACATCCTGTAGGTGAAGGGATTATCCTTGAAAAATACTTGCTTAAGTTCTTAAAAATATGACACTGTTCTTTAAAAGTTTTGGGTGGGTTTTTTTTTTTTTTTGCAAACTCCAGGTAGTCTCAGGTTTAAGCGTTCAGGTTTGTCACTGATGTTTTACCATTTTTTTCTCTGAATTCTTTTTGTATGTTAGCAGTGGGTTAATGGATATCTTATCTGTGGGTCTTATGGGTGCAGAGATGCTCCGTGCTCTTTGAGTAAAATTTTGTATCAGGTTTTGCAGAATTTGAGCCCTAAGGGCATAAATCAAGCTGGTCATTCTGACATAGCCATGAAATTTCTTCTTATTTGCCTTGTTTACTTTGAACCCTTAGTCATACAGTCAGAGATTGAGGAACTCGAGCCAGTAAGTAGCTTCCAATTTAAATGAAGCAGAGTTTGTTAAAGAATTTCACATAATCATAGAAAGATTTAGGCTGGAAGGTACCTCTTGATGTCTCCATCATCCCGAACTGCCCTTCTCCCTGCCCTCCTAACTGCAAAGCCAGGTTGAGCAGGAGCTTTGCCAGGTGACTTCTGATCATAGAATCATAGAATCATAGAATGGTTAGGGCTGGAAGGGACCTTCAAAGGTCATCTAGTCCAACCCCCCTGCAAGGCACAGGGACATCTTCAACTAGATCAGGTTGCTCAGGGCCTCGTCCAACCTGGCCTTGAACGTCTCCAGGGATGGAGCATCCACCACCTTCTCTGGGCAACAATTCCAGTGCTCTGGGGAGCATTTTTCCCTAAATACAGTCAGAATTTCCCTTGTTGCAACTTGTGCCCATTGCCTCTCATTGTCTTTTATTGGTGGGTTCCACTGAGATGAGTCTGGCTTCGTATTCTTTGTAACCTCCTCCTGGGTAGGAAATTCCCTGAGCTTTATCTTACCCATTGCATTTTGCACCGTGCACTTGTGTAGTCCAAATCACTGGCTGTGTCATCCCATAAGAGCATTGAATCATCTTCAGCTGGATCTTGTACTTTGCCAACGAGTATTTGGGGGTTTGGAGTAGTGAACAGACACCACGTACAACTAAGCCCAAAGCACGCTGCCTCCTCTGAGAGGGTAAGCTGAAAAGCGTGCAGAAGACATGGGATTTAAAATTCTCTCCACCAGCTGGAAGTTAAGACTGAGCCATAACTCCCAGCAGTCAGGAGCGGGAGTAGTACCCACGCACTTTGCTCCTCAGTGTCTCCCAAGTACACAAAGAGAAGATGAGAAGGTCCTTGACAGGGATGTTGCTTGAGCTTTCAGGCACAGTAAGTGTAGCTGAATACTGAAGGAAACATTAAATCTTAAGGATTTAGGCTGAAATTTCCAGTGAGAGTAGTGAAAGCTCGTTTCCTGTACCGCTGCATCTGTAGAGCCCAGTGGGCAGCTGGACACTAGCCCCACGGGAGGTTTGAAGAGAAGCTCTCAATGTAGCTTGGGAGGGATGAAAGAAAGAAAGTTCTAGCACTGTCAGACATTTTTTTTGACCTGTCAGTCCCTTTGCTACCTACATCTAAAGCACTGAACGGCTTGAGAACTTGCACACTTGAAGGTGGGGAAACTGGTGCAGAAACGGGCATTGATACCCAAAGAGGTGCTGTTATACCAGATGTCTTACTGTGTTGCCCATTCCTGTTTCCAGTTTCCTTCTGCTGCCTCATCTGACCTTTTTTGGCGGCCCACAGCTTTCAGAAATATGCTGCCCAGTGTGACTCGAACAACATCAATCAACTGTACTTCCAGAATTAAGAGTTTAAAAACAGGGAGATGAAAGAATCGGTGGTCATCATACGCTGCATGTAGATGTACACAGGTTTTGGTGGTACCTGGAACACATTTCGGTAGCTTTGTTCCCATCTCTTCGTTGACCCATTCTCCACTGGCTGAGCAGTGATACACCGCTTGGAAAAGACAAGGAAAAAGAGTGCTGTAAGGATGCAACCAAGGTGAAGAGAGGGTGAGTAGCATTTCTGTGTAGGATGATGTATTAACCTTCCCATTTCCAAAGCAGGCACAGCTCGGTAAAAACTGCTGGGATGTCCCTAGGAGTACAGAACCCTACTAGGGTGCTCTGCCCCTATTTTGGAGGGATCTCATCTAACAGATTTCTCAAGTCCTTTACTTCTCCACCAGAAACGTGTGCCAGGTGTGACAAAAATCTCCATGGTTCACACACCGGGCAAACGGAGGGAGGACTCGCCAATGCAGTGAAGGCCAACAGCCTAAGCACAGACATTATTACAGCGTGTAAACACAAAGGCAACCCAAAACCACTGCCTGCAACCCCACACCAATAAGAAGCTTTTCCCAGTCTTGACCTGATGGGATATAACCTCGGCCCCGTGACGATGCCAGTACCATTTGTTAGGCCTTTGATCTGCTGTGCTTGTGTAGCAGAGGCCATGCTTACCATCCCCTTCGGTTTTTAGGGTATAGTAAGGTGCATCACATCGATACTGGACAGCAGCGCTGTACAGAGGCTCACGAAGTTCAGAGATGTATACAGCTTGGGCATTGTCAAGAGGAGCAGGATCACCACAGTTCACAGCTGTAGAGAAGAAACAAAAACGATGAAATATAATCAAAGGGGCATCCTCACCCAACAATATGATCATTCTGTGTGATGGGGAACCACTCAGCTCATCTGGTCCCTGTACAGTCATCAGCACGCCCTTCCTCTGTCCCTTTGGCATGCACCCATCCCAGCCCTTCAGTGTCCTCCTAGTCTGGAAATACAAGGATTCTAGAGCCTAAAGGCTCCATTCCAGCCTGCCTCACACAGTACAGAGATGGGTCGCTTACGAATACAGCTGAAATTGGAGTTGCTCCATTCACCATTGTCCCGACAGCTGGAGTGAAAGGTCCTGAAGCTGTCTCGTTTCTAGGGAAAAGAACACATGACCCATGTAAGTCATTGGCCATGATGTGTATCTGACACGGGCACGCCAGTGGAGGGTCCTCAAAATGGTGCAGTGACTGGAAGAAGTTTCCACCTACTACAGCTATGATGAAAACTTTGAGTCCCCAAAGGTGCTCAGGACACCTGATGGGAAACAGCATCAGGAAGCTGCTGAGAGGGCCAGAGAGGATATGTGCTTTTTTATGGAACTTACTGTCACAATTTCGTAGCCTTCCAAACAGGTCACCTTCACATTGTCATTGAAGATATACCTGTCCTTCTTCGGGTCAAGAACAGAGTTGGGGATGACACTCGGGGGACAGGTTACAGCTTTGAAGAGACAGGTGGAAATCAGTGATTAACTGGTTCAAGATTTACTCTCCTTCCAACACCCAACTTTCTCCCCAGTGATCAGTCTCCCTAGCAAACAGGCACCATCTGTTTACTCCACACCAGCAGCTGGGAACACGTTACCATGCTGGTGTACCATGAATCTGACCTGGGAGAAGCTCTCTTCCTAACTTAGCAGCAGAGGGAAGACCATCCCAGGTGTTTACTCACGATCTCCATAGTAGCGTATTTTCCAGCCTTTGTGTTGCACCGCGTGGTCCGTATGGAAGATTATGTCAAGAATTTTGCTCCCAGTTTTGATTTCAGGAGGACCTGGGAATCTGCTGCCACAATAGGGACCAAAACGCTGCGTTCCAGAGACAAGCTGGGAAAAATAACAAAACAAGAAGAAATGAGAAATACCAAACGTATTCAGAGAGGTAGATATTCCCAAGAATTTCAAGAGGCAACAGCTGAAACAACAACAGGGTCTTCTGAACATGAGGAGACTGAAGGGAGATCCAGAGCATCCTGACTCCCCCACTAAGCCCCACACCTACTGTTAAGCTGTCGTGGCAATTCCCTTCGGAGTCGGCTGGTTCCACGTCGAAGTCCCCACTGCGTATGGTCAATGCCACAAAGTAGCCCGGCCTCAGAGCCACTCGGTACTCGCACCGTGAGTTCTCCGGGTACTGGTTGGGATAGTTGGGGCTGGTGATCTCCCCTGATGGCTCACTGAAGACACTTCCACTGCAGTTCACTAGAACCAAGGAAGGAACACGGACAGGATTTAGAAAGGAAAAGGTCCAAAGCTGACAAGCTTCCCCTCTTCCACTACGCCTCCAGTCTCCCCAGTCACCTGCATTAATCATGTTACAACATCGCATCTTTTCAAGAAACTGAAAACAGGGCCGTTCTCCATCCAATCAACCAGGGACTTGAACTTCTCGTGGCCTGAGGCACCTTGCACTCTTTTGCATCCTTTAGACAACTTCCTAGTGTCCTCAGTATTAGGGGACAGCTTCAGCACATCTTTAATTTTGCTCAGTCTCACTTAGTTTCTCTTAGTGTCCTCTCTACCTCCACCCATCTCTTTTTTTTACCTTCCACCTGCGACTGAGGTCCCCTTCCCTCATGCTCAAGTCCTCGTATTATACCACTTTCAACATGCACCTTTTTTGTGACTTTGCAATTTTTTGATTCAAGCTGAGCAGCCCCTTGGCCATTTTTGTGTCTTCATTGGACCTCCCTGTTTCATCAGAGAGGAAGGATTCACAGACAGCAGTATGCTAAGAAGGATCTCCATGACAGTCTTTAGAGAATGTGATTAAATTGTTTCTTCATTCTCTTGACACAAAAGAAGAAGAACGTTAAGAATACGTTAACAGAAATTCCCAAAGTCTACTGCCAGTTGAGACTTGCACTGGGATGTTCTTTTCTCCAAAACATACGTGCCACAACTGGTTGAGAAGTTTGATAAAGAAGGTCTTCCATGTACAGTATCTCACTTGACTACAGCTCATGTAGATCTCTTACCTCCACATGTTTTCTTATCCTCGTAGAGGAAAAAATCTGGTGGACAGGTGCAGAAGTAACCCCCAATATAATTATTGCAGTAATGACTGCAAGGTTCCTCCACGAAATCCATGCATTCATCCAAGTCTGTAAGCGTGAAAAGATGAACCAGCCAAGATTAGGAGAGGGCCCTAAGGGCAGGAGGAAGATGAGAAAGGGAAGCAAACACTGGTGGACAACAAGGAAAAGGTATCTCTAAGACAGCATTTAGACTGGCCATATTGGAAAGCAGCCGGTCTGCTGGGATCTCTTTCAAATAAGGCATTCTTGTAAGGAAAACCCTTCTGTCAGCTTCTCCCACCCCACCTCCAGCCTGGACACTACGGAGATTCAGAGGAGGCTGTTTCAACCTTACCCACAGCAACATAGTAGGCTGCAAAACCAGTGAAATGCTCCTCATTGGAAAAGTCCGATTGGAAGCTCATAGTGAGGGTGTTAGAAGGGACATGAAATTCCTCCACAATGGAGGAGCCAGGGGCACGAGGTTTCTTCCGCCCACAAAGCACGCCTTCAACATGGCCACCAGACAGGATCTGCAGAAGAATGCAGAGAGGTCTCATCTCATTCCTGGAATATGCGTAGCTACCACCACTCGAGTCTTTCAGCTGATAGGTGGTTAACCAAAGGCTCCTAAGTTGCTTCCATTTCTCATGACGTTCCAGCAGATCTCCCAGGGCACAGCTATGTCACACAGCTGGCAGGAGGGACCAAGGCTGCTGTGTCACCCACCGAGCTGGCCAAGGGTGGAAGACAGCCAGCCAAGGAACAGCTGAACGGAGCCCCTGGACAACCAGTTTAATGACATTTGTGAGATGTTTTAGGAGTGTTCTCTCCTACTGAACTCCCAGCTGTAAAATACCTGTCTCCATTTCTCAGATACAAATTAATCCAGAAAGTTGTCTGTTAGTACCCTTTCCCACTTGTGCAAAAAACGAACAGCGTGGTTCAAAATGGCAAACCCAATCACTGATGGTCTGCAGAGCAATCTAACAGGCTCATCAGTTTGTTGCAAAAAGAAACACGTTATTATAGTTCCCAGCAGAGCACATCCATCCTACCATCCCACCTTGGTCCTTCTCCAACGCCTCCTCCTGATGCTGCACTGGATCTTATTGTCCCTTTTCATGCATAGTTATTGCAGGATAGGATGGTGTCGCCTCTGGCTGCGTGGGAATGCTTGATCTTTTGTGCCTTTGTGAGACAACATGGAGCAGAGCTCGTGGGTCCCTGAGTTTTAAGCAAGCTGTGGTGCCCAGCTCATAGAAAACTGTGTTGCAACGGGCAGTGGCACTTTTTCTGAGTGCCCACTACCCACACACAGATCTCTTGATTGTTTTTAACCTTCATCATTGCCAGTCGATTTCTGATTGCCTTAAATCATCTGTCTCCACTCCCAGGTTAATTCTGACAAATTTTGGGGACAGAAAATCAGTGCCCTAATCCTTTAATACCTTTAATATCTGCCGTTCACCGGCTAAGAATATGCCTTGCACTAGGGAGGTGTCAACGATGGCTACGAAGGCTTTTCCTATGAGTACAGGAGAAACATGGAGAGCAGGACATAGATGGGACACTCGGTGGACAATGCTCATGTCATCATGACACAAACTCAAATCAATTTAGTGGCTGCTGGTGCAGACACACTCATTTGGGCTTCTCGCAGCTCAGAAAAGTGAGGACGTGTCTACCTCCTCTTCCAGCCCTGAGCTCTGCACACAGCTTTGCTGTTCCATGCTCTAACCTGCCTTCTTGTCTTTATCTCTCTTGGGGACAGGGACAGTACCTTCACAGAGTCATACTCGCAGTTCTGCGATGGTTCGAGATCCATGTGTGTGAAATAAAGGCGAATGCCGTATCCCGAAGGGACCTGGATTTCCCAAGATTCCTGCACATCATTGGGATACACCTGAGGATAATTGGGGGACAAGATCTCACCATACATGGAGGATGCATCAGCCCAGGCACAGAGACAGAAGAGGATAAGATACCTGAGAAAAGAGGAAGGAAGATGACATTGCAGTAATACAGGAAAAACACCTAATTCATAAAACAAAATTATTAATAAGCCTGAGTTCCCCTTGGAGATTCCAATAACTCACCACATCTGGAAAAAGCAGATCTTCCTTTCTGAAAACCTTCAGGAACTGGACTTTGGAGTTATAGTCTGGGACAAAAAACAGCGTGATTGATCAATGTTGCCTGTGCTTCTGTGTGTCTGCTAGGCAGGTCAAAGACCCTAACGTCCCATTTTGTGGAGAATATGTCAATGATTTGCCTCAAAGGCAAGTTGCTACCTCTGTTCTTTCCTGCATACAGCAACTTCAAGCATCAAGAGGGGATGCCAGGCTCCGTGCTACCAAAATGGAGATGATCTCTGTCTTGGTACTCACTGGTACTCGCATATCTCCACTTACAGCAACCAGTGTCTCCAAACACCATGCTGGTGCATAAAAAATTAAGATAGGAAGCACCTCCTCCCACCCTGAGGTACCAAATTCATTCTTCCCAGCACCCCAAAATTCATGCTAAGACCCTGGGGCTGGGGACCAGCTTGTCCTGACTCTTCTAGCTGTCAGACAGCGACGCCGAGGAATGTCTTCCTCTCCCATTCCTAACGCTCACGATATTTACCTTCTCTCCCTAGTCCGTGGCTGGCTTTCTTCTCTCTTCCCTTCTCTTTCTCTTTTTCCTTTTTTCTTCCTGCTCACACCCTCCTCCAAACCTACCTAAGGCTGGGGAAGAGACCTCTGATCCGTGACATCGCAGCACCCTCTACCCGTGGGACGCAGCTCCCCAGGCTCCCGGCCGGGTGAGATGCTGGGCTCGCCGGCTCTCGGCAGGAAGGGGAATTTCCAGGATGAGTTGCACAATCTTTTTGGCTCGGGCTGTGCGGGGGAGCATGCAGATCTGGGCTGTATTCAGCATTTTCGGGAAATCAGATGACTTCGGGGAAAAGAGTTTTCAGCTGCCTCTCCTCTCCCCGTCTTCCCCCTCCTTTTTCAGAAGTTAGGAACAAAATCCGAAGGGTGTGGAAAAGGGAGAGTCCGCGTGAGAACTGATCCAATGCTTTGGCACGGAAAAATCTCTTTGATCATCCTGCCCAGAGACCACTTTGCCGGAGTCTTCTCTGTTACTGCAAGGTGGTGACCACAGGGCTGCTGCTGCTGCTCCTCACCTGGTGCTTCGGAGACCCTTTTTCCAAGGGAAAAAAAAAAGGAAAAGATAGCAGCCCATTCAATGTCACGTCTCTCCGAGGTTACCCGCAGGAATAAGACTGTTGTTTTGCTGGGTTTTGTTCTGGGAACACTCCTGTAAGAAGAACTTGACTAAGAACTCTTAACGACCTCTTTATTTACCAAGGGAACTTCATGCAAGAGCAACTGTTCATCAGACTTAGCTCTGGAGCAGGTTGGATCTAAGACCCTTACGGAAAGGAGCTTCAAGACTTATGCCAGGTAGGACACTTAATCCAGCCAGTGCCCACAAGCCAAGACCAGAATTCCACCATACAAGCTAAAAGACCTGTCACTAATACTCCAGAAAACCCCTTCTCCTTACAAACCAGCTAGACCAGGAGTGGACTATAAATGAAAACGTAGAACTCCGTTACAGCCTCTACCCTTTAGAATCAGCACAGCATCCTCCAGAGCTTGTTTTGGCCAGGAAAAAAAATAAAATTATTCAAGTTTCAACAGGTCACGGGCAAAGTGTGTTAGCAAAGCCCAGCTGAACGACTCCTGTGTATTGTCGAGGGAGAGAAACACCTACAGATGAATCATAACTGCCTTCACTGGAGTCAGGAGAAAGGCTTGACTTGAAGAACATGTTTTCTTTGTCAAACTGAGAACGGAT